TTATGATCTGGCCTTAGACTAAGAATAGCTAAGAGCGTTGTTATGATCTGGCCTTAGATTAAGAATAATTTAAGAGCACTATTGGATTAATATCTGAATTGAATAAAATGTGTTGATATGAACTGAATAATACCAAAACTGTGAATGTCTGAAATGAACATTGTGTGCATGATATCAAATGATTTGATTATGAATTTAGATTCAGTTTATATGGATGTTCGACGCATTAGATATGCTTACTCAGCTTTACCGCTGAGTGTGTAGTGTGTTTTATTTGCTACACGCAGGTAAGCAGAAAGCACAATGTGATCCTGGCGGCAGATGGGGCTAGATTGTCGGGATGGATGTGACAAGTTTTGAAACAATTTATGATATGTCAATATTAAAAATCGCTTCCGCAATATTGTTGAATACTCCGTACTGTATATGTTATGAAAAATATTATTGGGATTAATAAAGTGTGTTTGAAAAGTTTTAAATTTTTACGATTACCAAGTTAAATACTTTAGTCCGAATGGGGCTGCAGGCCTGGACGGATTAGGGTGTTACAATCTATTTGAAGCCATCCTCCTGGTGACCATTACATGATTACGAACCTTTGTCTTAGAAGCCTTAGAAGCCTTAGAATTTGAGGCTACTATAGGAGTTAAAGCATCATGCAAAAGAGGAAATTCATTTAAAGATCTATCGGTTTCATCAATCTCCCTTCCATCTGTTAAAAATCCCACCTCTGGATCAGCATCTTCAGGGATTGTTTCAGATCAATCCTCATAAGAAACAATAGCCAAACGATCATTGCTATAATCCAAGGGCATATACTGAGAAAGGAGAACATCATGTAGACTTGTCATAGTGAAGGAAGACAAAAGATTAGGATCTGAGATAGTAAAAGTTCCATCCTTAACCAGATTGACCGAGTCAGGGGGTGGGGCTCGCATTTCAGAGGAGCCATGACTTCTAGATTCCATGCTTACTTTATGTTGGTCATCCCCATTAGATGATTCACCAGGACCTTCAGACCAAGGCACTAAGTGCATGGGTTTTGGACGTTCCTTTTCTTTCCAAACCCTAAGAGGGTTTTTAGCTTTCCATTTACGTGAAACCACTTGCCATGCATTATCCTGATGCATCCCATGAGCTTGGACCCCATGAGGTTGAGATCCATTCCCCTCTTGCTGAGTTACTTTTGTCAAGGGACATCTCTCCCTAAGATGTCCAATGCTACCACAATCCACACAATATGGAGGCACCTTTTCATAATAAAAATGAACAGTGAAAGCTTCTTCCCCATGCTGAACATGGATTCTCTCTGGAGGCAGATTAGAAACATCAACTTCAACACAACAACGTGCAAGCTGGGGCCTGGAGAAGTTTAGAGTACAAGAGTCAACTTGTAGAGGATTGCCAATAGAGGAAGCAAGCAGATGTAGGGCTCTCCTATCATGCAAATGAGTAGGCAAATCTCGAAAGGCAATCCAAAGTGGTAGGACGGGGTTTTCACAATTAGAAATAGAAGGACTCCATTTTGTTAGCGTCATAGTGCTCCCAAAGACCTTCCAAACACGCCGAAGAAATAAACGCACATAATCCTCCTCCTTATGAAAGTTTAGAAGAAAACGCCTACCAGACATTATAGTTATGTCAAAATCACCAAGTAGACCAAGTTTCTGCATGAAAGCTTGCATGGAGGCATAGGATGGCCGAGATTGGAACGTTGCCACAAGTGCATGCTTGAAACGCTCTGATAAATCTGCAATATCATTCTTCGTGAAGGAGACGGACGGGACCCCCTTCTGATACCCCGTAATCCTTCCTTCAAAAGGCTTTGCATTCGAGCCCTTTGCAACAACATCTGAGAACAGCCTGTTAAGACCTCTAGCATGCACAGCTTTTGCAGATCCCGGCGTAACCGCCGGAGAAGAAAGTTCTCGATCGCTGCTAGGGTTTTCCATTGATATCATATATATATATATATATGGCGGCAAATATATATATATGTGTGTGTGTNGTTTTCCATACACACACACACACACACACACACACACACACTCTTGCGCCTCAATAATAATAAAAAATAATAAACAATTTATCATTTATAGATATATATGTATATCCAAATATATATATATATATATATATATATATATAATATTTGACAAACTTAATTATCATATAATTAAATTGTCGAAATATAAATAATTAATTATATATATGTTTGTGTATCTAATCATATTGTCACACAATGTCATATACACAATATATATATATATAATGCAACTTTAGTCCACTTAAATATTCTACACTTTTTTATGTTTGATGTGTGTGACCCTATAATAGGTACATATAAAATTGGCCATAGTATCAATTAAATACTACAAGTGATATGAGGTATTTAGTAACACATTATTACTCCCAAATTATAGATATAAAGCTCTTGGAAGAATTTCTTCAACGACACATCTTATTTGTATAACCCATATCCCTTTATGACTAATATCTTGATTTAACATAAGATATGAGGTGTGTCACCTTGTTAGAGTTAAATCGATGGTTTACTGATTTTTTGATTGACTTGTGGGATTCAAATAACATATTTATTTGGGCATGGCCATGCACTTCCCAAGTCACATCAATCAGTGGGCCCTTAGATATTATACTTCATTAAAGAAGGAATAAATTTATCTACGTCATTCACATCCCTACTTAGGTTTCATTGCATACCCAAAACATAACTGTACATCCACCAATATTTCAGGTGGCATAAATCATGCTTCAAAGTATGCAACTCAGCTTATCAGAGATCGTAATGACTTCAAGTCGAAGGATAGTTATACTAATGGTCGCATGAGAATAATATTGACACTTTAACTTATACCCATATATTCTTCTCATAGCAGGTCAATCTAGCAACATATCCAATATGTTTGCCTACGTATAGATTCGGATAACACTTTATCTATAGGCTATGAGACGCAGCTATCTCATCTCATACGTATTAGTCTTGATATATTATCATGTCCGTATAATGATCATATTCGACTAAGGATATTTTAGACGTAGCCTCTATCTTTGTAACAGCCTCATAATCAGAGTATCGTAGTTCTCATCTATGTTACTAGAGCGCCTAGTCTATGGACTAAAGCTATGTTTAAATCACATGAGATAACTTAAAAAATCTTTAGGGCCTATTGTTCTTGATATAATATAGATATGGAATCATAAGTTGGCCTCTAGGGCTCACTTATATTCAACAATCTCCTACTAGCACTAAGGCCAATTATGATTTCCATGTATGCCTTATGCACGAAGTGTGACCCTCATATATAGGTTTTCCTAAGACCTAGGTCAATAGGTTAAGAGATTGTTTATCCTTTTTCTATCTTGAAAATTTTTGATACTTTCACTTTTACAACTTTTCGTATGCTGTAATGAGATCTAATGATGTTTTGGTTTCTTGGTGAGACTGTAGCTTCTTTAGCGTCTGTAACAACCTTATCATTGTTAGTACAACGATATATTGGTTTCTAATGCTCGGAGCAATGCTATCCTTTTGTGAGAAGCTACCAAAACCAAAATATCTTCCTTTTACTACTTCTAAAGTTGCAAATTTGTCTCATTGTTATGCGTATGAGACCATGTCAAGACTTCATAATGTTTGTTTTGCTAATTTAAACCAACCTTATGGTTGTTCTAAACAAGCTATTTTGTGTGTAACATTTACACATAAGCCATTTTAGAAAATCATATTCTTTTGTCTCTTTTTATGAATAAAAAGTTAACTTTACAAAGTTAATCACTGCTCTAAGCTCAATTTTGACACACACACACACACACACACACACACACACACACACACACACAGATATATATATATATATATATATATATATATATATAAATTACACGCGCGTTGGACGGGTTTGAGAGCCCGATCAAGATTTTATCTAAAAGTTTTTATGCATTTTATTATGATTAAATGTGGTAGAATTCATAAATATAGATATTGTTATTTCAAAAAAAATGCTTAAATTTTTAATATATTTCTTTAAAAATGCACATGTGACAAGTACAACTTATATTTCTAATGGTGAATTTGTTTAAAGTATCAAAGATTTTGATTGCTTGTGAAGGAGGGCGTATGAGTGTCATTGAAGTAGTACAATGGTTTTGGATAAAATTTGGAATCATCAACATTGATTGGCCGATACCCAGCAGGTAGCCCAAACACCATACCCGGAAGGCGCTGGGCCACTAGAGCTAAGGTGTATTAAATCTGGACCGGCCCAAGACGTTGGGCTCAGGCCAATCCAACCAAGAAGACAACTAGAAGAGTCGATCCACGGGAGGGGATTCAGCGGAAGGCGGGGATGTAGCCGAAGAAAGTGGATCGCGCCATTAACGGATTAGTCACCTCTGATTATGAACTACCTTAATTACCCCCGACACCGTGTATAAATAGAGAGGACCCGAATGGGGATCCTCAAGCTGAATCAAGCTAACAAAACCTATCATTCTCGAGTTCTTATTCTATATAATTTCTTTCGATCCGTTCTTCTGAATCAGATCATTTGGCAGATTTATTGTCCATCAAATTGGTGCTTTCATTGAGAGCTCGAGAAATACACTCAAGAAAAATCCTTCCCAAAGAACAATGGTGCAAACCCGTAGCAACGCAAACCAGGTCACCGGAAATCCCCCTCAAGGCGAAACTAGCGCCACCGGAGGTCGTCATCCTCACATCAACGTGACAGAGGCAGAGGCCCTCATTCAGCGGGTGAGATCACTGCTAAACAACTCAGGGAAGTGTTGGCAGTCCTAGCCCCGACGCACGAGGTTGTGGTGGAGGATGCGGCCGGGGAACCAACCGGAGGGAAGGCCGGGCCAGCAGGCTCCGAGGGGAAAAAGAAGAAGAAGGTAAGGCGATCCCAAAAGAAGAAGGCGACCAATCCTAACGGGAAGGCTATGGTGGAGGATGATCTGTCCCGGTTGGACGAGAGGATGAATCATCCTCCTTCGAGCTGGCATCTGCCTTCAATCGGTTGGGAGACCCCAAACTAAAAAAGCCTCGAACCTCTGCGTTCGACCGGTTGCGGGACACTCGGTTGGCTCGAAAGGGCGACCTGAGGGAGAAGCTTAAGGAGAGAAGAGAGGAGTCCTCAGCAACATCCAAAGCTAGCTCGGAAGAGCGACGTAAGGCGATTGAGGACAAAGAGGTGATCGAGTTATGGAGGATGTATGATCGCCTAGAGAAGCGACTAGACGCCCATAATCCGTACCGCCAGGCGGTCTTCAGTGAGGTAACCCCCTTTTCCAGAAGGGTGATGTCTTGTCCTCTCCCGGACAACTTTAAGACCCATCATATCAAGGCATACAACAGGACGACCAATCCCCAAGACCATTTCGCTCGCTTCGGGGCGAATGTGGTTATGTACACATACCCTGAAGAAATTAAGTGCCGAAGTTTCCTAGCAACGCTGGAGGGGCAGGCCTGTGAATGGTTCCACAAGTTCCCTAAGGGATCGATCGATAAGTGGAGCAACCTGGCCCACAAATTTTTGGAGCACTTCGCGTCGAGCCGAAGACAGAAACTCCCCTTCTCACATTTGCTCAACGTGAAGATCAGAAAGGGGGAGGAGCTCCAAGAATTCATCAATAGGTGGGAGAAGGAGGCTAGGGACGTCCAAGGGGCGGACGACCAGGCCCTAACCGTGATGCTCCAAGCAACACTCCCTCGGGGGATGTGCGCAAGGAGCTGCGACGAAATCCACTACGTACCTATCAGGAGATGCTGGCCAGGGCGAAATACTTGGCGTTAGAAGAAGAGGATGATGAGGCGCCTATCCCGAAGGAGAAGAAGGGCGGGCAGCCAGCTGGAGAAAGAAGGAAAAGGAAAGATTTTGGTAGGGGGCCAAACCCTACAGGGTATCAGGTGAGCAGACTGCCTGTCCATACAGTCTAGTCTTTACCAGCACCTCCTCGCAGTCGGGAAAGTTATAGCGTCCAAGATGCACCCAGGTACTGCAAATACCACCGTAACAGCACCCACAATACGTCGGAGTGCGTTACGTTGAAGAAGGAGATGGATCAGCTGATCGCTAGAGGGCCGCCACCTCGACCGGAAAGGCAGGCACCTGGAAACAGAACGTGGAGGAGACCGGCAGCCGCTGCCGCAACGATCACCAATGGAGAGGGGCAGGAAGATCGAAGACGACATCTGGGGAGAGACTGTGAGGACCTGGATGAAGATGAAAGGCAGAACCGCTGGCATCTGGGATGTCGGTTCATCATGGGTGGAAATACCAGAGGGGACTCGGCGTCCTCACGGAGGAAGTGGAAGAACATGCTCCACTTAGCAGAAGTGCAGAGGCCACTGCTGCCCAAGCGGAAGAAGAAGGAACCCTTGATCTTCACGGATGAAGATTACCCACCAGTCCTTATCCCCCATCGGGATGCGCTGGTGGTGAAGGTAGAGATTAATAATGTGGTGGTCCATCGTATGCTGGTCGACACAGGCAGCTTAGTCAACATCATGTATAACAATACTTTCAAGGAGCTAGGCCTGTCTTGAGGAGATCATAAGCCAATCTGTACCTCGCTGTCAGGGTTCACCGGGGACACCATTGAGGCGGAAGGAACCATCACAGTAAAGGCCGGGGTTGGAGATGGCACCCACCAACTTTGGCTCGACATGGAATTTATAGTAGTGTAACATGATTGTGCACAACATTTAATCCTAGGGTGACCGGGTCTGGAAGAATTGGAGTGCGTGATCTCCCCTGTCCACCTGTGTATGAAGTTCATCACCCCTACCGGGGTGGGAGTGGCGAGAGGAAATCAAAGTTTGTCTCGGTCGTGCTATGTTAGGGCGACCAAGAGCCAGACACGGGTCGACGAGAACGTTAGCACAATCTACGTCGCGATCCAGAAGGAGGAAGGTCGACCCAGGGCGGAGCCGGCAAAGTAAGTAGAGGAAGTTGCTCTAGATCCCCTAAAGCCGGAGCAGAAAGTGACGATAGGCAAGGCCCTGCAGCCCAAGTTGAAGGAACGACTAGTGAGCGTCCTTCAATCATTTAAACTTCTATTTGCCTGGGGACCGGGAGATATGCCTGGGGCCGACCCGTGAATCATTTGCCATAGGTTGGCAGTAGATCCGACCCACAAGCCGGTCAAGCAGAAAAAGCGTTTCCTCTCCTCGGAAAGGAGAGATTTTGTCGCCAAGGAAGTAACTACCTTGCCGTCTATCAGGCACATCCAGGAATTCCGCTACTCGGAGTGATTGGAAAACGTAGTCCTCACACCCAAAGGGAATACCTGGCAGATGTGCGTCAATTACACCGACCTAAACAAGGCTTGCCCGATGGACCCGTTCCCTCTACCCAACATTGACCACTTGGTGGACGAAACGACAGGGTGTGAACTGATGAGCTTTATGGATGCTTTCAGCGGATATCATCAGATCAGAATGTCCATGGCAGACGAGGAGAAGACCTCCTTCATCACGCCCAATGGGGTATATTGTTATAAGGTGATGCCCTTAGGCTTGAAGAACGCCAGTGCGACCTACGCACGGATGGTCAATAAGCTGTTCGCACCGGTGTTAGGGGGATGTATGGAGGCGTATGTGGACCACATGATTGTTTAGTCAAAGCAGATGGTGTCCCACCATCAAGATTTGGAAAAGGTGTTCAGAATCATGCAGAAGTACCAGCTTCGCCTCAACCGAAAGAAGTGCACGTTTGGGGTCCAAGAGGCAAGTTCTTAGGACATATGGTTAGTCGAAGGGGCATTGAGCCCAACCCGGAGAAAGTAAAGGCGATTTTGGAGATGGAGCCTCTGCGGAATGTAAAGGAGGTCCAGCAGCTAACGGGAAGGATCGCTGCTCTCAGCCGGTTCTTGTCAAAAATAGTTGATCAAGTGGCCCCATTCTTCGAAACTATAAAGAAAAGCAGAGGTTTTGTCTGGACCGAAGAATGTCAGAGATCCTTTGAAGGGTTCAAGGCGTATCCCCTCTCACCATTAGTACTTTCGAAGCTGGAGCCTAGAGAGTCCTTGTACATATACTTGGGAATTTCTCCTCAGGCTGTGAGCTCAGTACTTGTGAGGGAGGAGGCGGGTACGTAGCGACCTGTGTATTATGTGGCCTGGGTGTTACGAGGAGCAGAATTAAGGTACTCGAATATGGAGAAAACTATCTTCGCGGTAGCGTGCACGGTAAAAAAGCTCACCCCATATTTCCAGGCCCACCTGGTCCACGTTCTGTCCCAAAGCCCGATCAAAATCCTCATCCGGAGTCCCAATGCTCCGTCGCGAGTGAGTTAGTGGGGGGTATTCCTGGGCTCATTCCAAATAGAGTTCAAGCCGCGACCAGCAATTAAGGGACAGGCCTTGGCAGATTTTGTGGTAGAGTGCACCGCAAGGGAAGTTGAAACCAACAAAGAAGAGCGATATGGAAGTTGGTGCTTCATATACACTGACGGATCGTCCGCGACTGATGCTTTGGGGGGCAGAGTCATGGCGATATCACCAGAAGGGTTCAAGGCATATTACTCTATAAAGTTCCGTTTCAAGGTCTCGAACAATGAGGTTGTGTACGAGGCACTCCTATGTGGCTTGAGGTTGGAAGCGTCATTAAAAGCTGGATGGATCCAGGTTAGGTGTGACTCAAAGTTGATAGTGGGCCATGTAACAGGAGAATTCGAAGCGAAGGACGAGCGAATGGAGAGATATAGGGACACTGCGTTGGAACTACTTAAGACATTCAGGGCGTACCAGATAGAGCAGGTCCCTCGGGAGGAAAATGCTGAGGCAAACATTCCCTCAAAGCTTGGTCCAGATTCCCCGGAACACATTTAGGCAATGACTCAAGAAGAGGAGTTGTTGGAACCAAGCATCAGTCCCGTACAAGTCTTGGTCATCACACTTAATGAGCCAGACTAGATTGACGAGTTGACCATGTACATCCTTGACGGATCGATATCGATGGATCCCGTCGCGGCCAAAGTCGTCAAGCGACGCACACCTAGCTATACGCTGGAGTGCGGAAGGTTGTATAAGCAATCGTACAATGGTACGTTGTTGAGATGTTTAAGGAGGGATGGAGCGCAAAAGCTGATGGAGGAGATTCATGAGGGGATATGCTCGGTAGACCAAGGAGCTTTCACCATGTCAAAGAAGATAACCTTGCAAGGGTGCTTCTAGCCAACAATCATAAGGGATTGCGCGGAATATGTGCGCAGGTGCAAAGTGTGCCAAAAATTCCATAAGATACCGGGACGACTAGCAACGAATTATACCCCTATCAGCACAGCAATACCCTTCGCTCGGTGGGGTATTGACTTGGTCGGCATCTTGCCCAGAGGAGCAGGGAATAACATGTATCTGGTGGTCGCGATTGACTACTTTACTAAATGGGTCGAGGCCGCTCCTGTACCGACCATCACTGAAGAGTAGATGACGAGATTCATGTCAAAGCAAATCTTGTGTCGTTTTGGAGTGCCCCAACAAATCATCACTGACAACGGAACCCAGTTCAAGGCTAAGGGATTCAATGAATTCTTGCAAAGTTGGGGTATAAAGCATAGCTATGCCACGGTCGGGTACCCTCAAACTAATGGGCAGGTCGAAAACACCAATCGCACCATCGTGGATGGCCTAAAAAAGAAGATAATGGAGTGTAAAAGTGCATGGGTGGAAGAGTTTCCTTACATTTTGTGGACTTATATGACCACCTCGAGGAAGGCCACAGGGGAAATGCCATTCGCACTCACATATGGGTTTGAGGCAAGGGCTCTAGCTGAAACTCATTGCTGAGTTATAGAGTGGAAACATTTGATGCACAAGAGAATGAGGAAAACTTGAGGGCAGAGCTACACCTCATAGACGAGCGAAGAGAGAGGGCCTACATCCGGGTAGAAAACTACCGCTGACAAGTTAAGTCATACCATTATCAGATGGTGCGACCGGGGTAGTTCAGAATGGGCGACTGGGTCCTATGGAAAAGAGAGGTTAGTTGGCCGACCGACGGTGGGAAGTTTGCAAAGAATTTCGAAGGGCCATATATCATAAAGGAAGTATTAGCCGATGGAACATTCAAGCTACAAACACCAGCAGGGGGCGATGTCCCGTGCATGTGGAATAGTGCTAATCCTATCAAGTTTTACCAATAATTTATACTCCTACTATGATTCGCCCTTGAGTTAAATAAAACCAGCGCTTTGACACTTCCTGATCCCATCCATTCTCGAATTCTCTTGTTCAAAAAGGGGGGGGAGCGACTAGAAAAGATCGCTACCAGAAACCATATGGTGATTCGTGTTAAGTTGCCTATTAAGGACTAGAAGAGATCGCTAATCAACGCAACCAAGCGCACAAGTGCTTTGTGGTTAGTAAGCGCGGAACTAGATGGTCTCTTGGGCGACCGGGGGGGCTCGCACGTTCAAAAATGGGCGACGCAAAGGTGAAAAAAGCCCCATAAATGGCTAAGTCGAGAGCATAAGACCCGATGGTCGCTTGGGCGACCAGGGGGACTCATGTGGAATGAGGCGATACCGGGGCGAGAAGGACCCAAGGATGGCTAAGTCAAGAGAAGCAGGTAGTTCCCTCAACTGGAAACTGAGGTGATCCGAATGCTCAAGATAAGGCGTAAAAGCTATGCCTATGAAGGAGATGGGACTTGTCATAAACATGTTAGATAGGTAACATTAAAGTTTACTCATGAAAACACCCATTACACATCAAAAATCACCCTTTACATTTGCATGTCCAATACAATTAAGAGCATTTTCATACATCCAAGAGAAAAAATCCAAAAAGCATATACATGCGACTAAAACCCGAAAAGGAAGAAAAACACAAGGAAAAAAGTGAGGTGATGTAACACCTTAATCCGTCCAGGTTTGCAGCCCCTTTCGGACTAAAGTATTAACTTGGTAATCGTAAAAATTTAAAACATTTTAACATCTTTATTTATCATAAAATAATATTCCATACATAACAGTAATAAATTACGGAGTTTTAATCATAATGCGGAAGCAATTTAAATCATGTCTCATAACAATTTAATTTAATCATTTTAAATCATAAATCCACCACGATCGCATCGCCCCTTCTGCTGCCAGGAACATGTCGATTACTCGTTCTGCCTACCTGCGTGTAGCAAATAAAACACACTACACGCTCAGCGGTGAAGCTGAGTAAGCATATCTAAAGCGTCGAACATCCACATAAATTGAATCCAAATTCATAATCAAATCATTTGATATCATGCACAGAGTATTCAGTTCAAATATACAATAATCAATATTCAACATTCGTCATTCAATATTCATATTCAACATTCAACATCCTCATTCAATAATATCATTAAACTATTCTTAGTCTAAGGCCAATCTTTTTAATGTTTACCAACTCTTAAACTAGTTCTAGTTTAAGGTACTTCTATCCAACTCTTAAACTAATTCTAGTTTTAATGTACTTTTATCCAACTCTTAAACTTATTGGAGTTTAAGGTACTTCTAACCAACTCTTAAGCTAGGTCATTAGTTTAAGGTACATATATTCCGATTAATTTACCAACTCTTAAACTAGCCTTTGCTTAAGGTACAAATCTATAAAACCGAACAGTAGGATACTAACTGTCGGGTTGGGTAGCATCCCCAAACGAGTTCCTCTAGTTTGGT